GATAACGAACCTCAGGGAACGAGGTGAGGAAGCCGCGGGTGGACGCTGGAGAGACCTCGGCGGTATACACGGGAGCAATCATGAGGGCGTAGCCGACGCCAATACCAGCCACGAATCGACCCACCATGAGGAAAGCATAGTTTGTAGCAAACGCCATGAGGAGAGCTCCGATGAAGAAAATACTACCTGCGACCACGATGGTGTACCGGCGACCAAGCCAGTCGGAGGTCCTTCCAGCAGCGGCGGAGCCGATTAAGGAATACAAGCTGAATGTGCCAATAAGTATTTCCACCTGAACGTCGCTGATTTTGAGGTCTTTCTGGATGTAGATCGCAGCTCCACTCATCACACCAATGTCTGAATTCCAAAATTCATAAACAGACCCAAAAAAATGGAAAAAATTTGTTAAGCATGATGTCGGACGAGATCCACACCTTTCTTCTTGGAGAGTTGAATTCATGTGGATAAGTTCAAAGAATACTTATATATTATGTAGAATGTTTACTTGATCTATTGTGAATTAATTTTATGTCAGGTCTACTTGCTTTTTTAACTTATACTTTGTTAAATTTTCTAGTGTCATCCAAATAATAATACGTATTGAAAATGATTTTCCCATTAAATACTTTACGGGGAAACAAATAAATGAATGGAAACAGAAAATTTTAAGCTTAAAAAATAAACAGAGGACTTAATTACCATAACCAAGCAAGATGGAAATCATGGAAGCGAGTATGGCACAAGCAAAGGCATATTTGTTTCTTTTTGGTTTTTTTGCAGGTCCAAAATCCGCAAGGACTTTGTCTGAAGCCGGGAGGTTGCCGGAAACTGCATCATGGTGAGGTCCGGCCATTATCTCTGTTTTCTGGTGCAGATAATGCAGAGAATTAATTAAGAAGAATTTTGGGGGTGATGGATGTTAGTAATAAGCATGATATATGGTTGAGGATGCGTGTAGAGTACAAGCATGAGATATGGTTGAGGACAAGCATGTGGAGTACAGATATGCTTTAAATAAAACAAAACCGCCCGGCTGTTTCATCAGCTAAGTGGACCACAAAGAATTGGCAGTCTTATGGCCACTAATTCTGTTAAGTGTGTCAAAATTGTATTTAATTTAATTGATACTTGTAATTTTTTTAAACAAATAATTATCATGTTTAACAATATTAATTTGTAAATTAATTTGAATTTATTAAATAATAAATATTAATTATTTTATTAATTATTAATTACTTTTAGTAATTAAATTAAATAAAATTAACAT